AGTAGGTCACCTCTGAAACCAAAAAGTTTTTCAATCGCTCCGTCAGACCATGTCCTCAGAAAATGTATAAAATCTGCCCTGTGCCCCATTGACCTTTGACCTGTGACCTCCAATTTCGGCACAGTGATGGCTTTTCCTACCAGGATGCTATACACCGACTATCACGAGCCTAGGTCGAGCCGTTTAGATTCGTGCCGCAATTCTGCATTTCTTCCCTATATCTTAAGTTAAGGAGGAAATGTTCCCCCTTATTTTACACCTCTTGACCTTTGACCTTTGACCCCCAGCTTTGACATCCCAACTAGTTTTCGGACATCCCGACTTTGGAATCCGTACGTCGAGCCGTTTAGGTTTGTGCCCAACTGTTGACGGACGCACGGACGGACGCACGGACGCACGGTCATGCGATTCTACAAGCTGCATCTGACTATGTCAGATGAGCTAAAAATGTGTGGGCACCGTTACTGTTACGCTCTTCCGTTTTTTTCTTGGCTTATGTATTCCTATTAAATATAAACATTACTATTTTTAACGGAAAACAAGAGCAACAAAATAAATTTGCGTCACATCATCAGTTTGTCTTTCAAATATCTTTGACCCGCTGCTGCAGAGAATGCGAAACATCTTGTAATAACTTAAAACCTAATCAATATTCATCTGCTGTTAGGGAAACGAAAATCTAAACGCATAGACGGCCAGGATGAAGAAAGTTATAAAAAACAAAACAATTTGAATGAGAAGAAGAATTTGAGCAAGAAAACACAAAAGTAACCGCGACGAATTAATATGACCAGCATTGTTGAATAATTATGTAAACACGTTATTCGTGAGCGTGTGTTTGAGAAATCCATATCATACGCGATAGCGATATGAATATCAATTTCAATAAGTATCTACGTAATAAACATGGTGTTAAACACCCCGAGGTGCTGGGGAAATTTATGGGGAGTTCTAGTTCATTGAAGCACACTATTCCGACCCGGTTAAAACAGCAGTAGTGAGCCAGACAGGCTTACATTGAAGACTGAGACTGACGCACGGGTGCTAGAAAGAGAGACATATATCAATAATTTGCGACGTATACTTGCTCGGCATCATGATCTACTGCGTAGAAATGACGGCAAGGCTTGCTGGCATGCTGTTACTGGCCGTTGCGTTAGCTGATTGCGGGTACGTATAGTTGAGACATCGGTTGTTAGAGACATACGCGCCTCTAGGGTGTGGCACGCTGTAGGTAACCTCGACATAAACTAATGCGTGTGTGTGCGCTTGTTTGTTTGTTTGTTTGTTTGTGTGTGTGTGTGTGTGTGTGTGTGTGTGTGTGTGTGTGTGTGTGTGTGTGTGTGTGTGACGGTGTGTGTGTGCGCGCGTGTTTGTGCGCGTGTGCATGTGTGCATGCGTATGTGCGTGTGTGAGTATGCGTGCGTGCGTGCGTGCGTGCGTGTGTGTGTGTGTGTGTGTGTGTGTGTATGTGTGTGTGTGTGTTAGTGCATGTGTGCGTGTGTGCAAGTGTATGTGTGTTGTTCGTACACGCGCACCTCTACGTATCTGCCCGTGTGATTTTTTTATATCAGCAATAGTAAAACATATTACTATTAAAAGCTTTTACAAAGCGAACAGAGCGACTGCACGGTAAATAAGTTTTAGTTACGTTTAGTTTAAGTATTAGGTGCGTGCATGCAACCACCAAAGATAAGTCGGAATTCGTATGATCACTATATTTGCGCAGGACAGTCTAAATATATTTGTTACTTTCAGCCCAGGGATCGAACTTAAAGGTACTCCCTCGTTCATACGTCATAGGGTAGTCAGAGGTACGTTTGACCCGTGTATTATTCGACCTCTGTGTTGTTATAATTGCACGAGCGCACGCACACACTCACACACACACACA